AGCGAGCTGATCCCAAGCATAATACATTTGGGAGAGAAAATCATTAATGGTTTGAGTGGTTTCTTGGCGCATACCGTGAAGATGACTCAGAAGCTGATATTGGTGAGCAAGGCCAGTAGTCTGATAGTGTTCGTGTAAAAAATCCCAGATGGCTTTGGGTGGAAGGGTCAGTAAAAAACAGAGAGGGTGAGGGAACGGAAACGGAAGAGAGAGAGAGAGAGGAAAACATTTTGTGTTCCCAAAAGATGACATGACGAGAGATACGGAGTCGTTGGGAGAGAGGATCCCAACAACGATACCCCTTGTGTTCAATGCCATACCCTAAGAAGCAACAAATGCGAGAACGTGGTTCAAGTTTGGTACGTTCATGAGGTTGGAGAAGAACAAAACAGGCAGATCCAAAGACCCTAAGGGTGGTATAAGGGGGACGGGTGCCATGCAGACGCTCATAAGGAGTGTGATTATGAATGACAGGTGTAGGGATACAATTGATAGTGTAAGCAGCAGTGAGAGCTGCCTCGCCCCAAAAATGTTCCGAACAAAAGGAAGACAGAAGGAGAGCTCGAGTAGTGTCAAGGATATGTCGATGTTTCCGTTCAGCACGTCCATTTTGTTGAGACGTACCGGGACAGGAACGATGAGGTTGAGTACCATGACTCTGAAGAAAGGAAAGAAAGTCAGAATCTTTATATTCCATGGCATTGTCGGAGCGAAAAAGCTTAATATTTTTAGAAAATTGAGTTTTAACCATTGTAGCAAAATTGTAATAAAGTTGTTTGAGCTCAGAGCGATTTTTCATAAGAAACAACCAGGTAAAACGGGAAAAATCATCTATAAAAACAACAAAATAGCGTGCGCCTCCCATAGTAGGAGTAGGAGAAGGTCCCCAAATATCAGAATGAATGAGATCAAATGGTGCAAGAGAAACAGAGTCACTTTTATTAAACGACAAAGCAGGTTGTTTGGCAAGTTGACAGGACACACAATCTAAAACATCAGAACTTACATGACCTAAATGACCACTGGAAATTAGAGATTTTAAACGACCAACAGAAAGATGGCCTAAACGACAATGCCAAAGCTGAAAAGGAGATAAAGGAGGAGCAGTGGTAGCAGTGGTAGTAGTGGTAGGAGTTGTGGTAGTAGTGGTAGTGGTAGGAGCTGTGGTTTGAGAGGAATCTGGAACATGAAGATGGATGAGTTCGTAGAGACGTCCATGCTTACGGCCTATCCCAAGAGTTTGCCTCGTCCGAGGGTCCTGCACCAAACAATCAGTACGGGAAAAGGTAACAGTTAGACCATGCTCACATAATTGACTAATGGAGATAAGATTTAGAGTAAGAGCAGGCATAAGATAGACATGGGATAAAGATAAGTGAGAGGTTGAAACAGAACCAACATGACTGACAGACAGAAGAGACCCATCAGCAGTATGGATAGAAGGAACATGAGGAGGAGAAGATAAAGGAGTAAAAATAGTAGGGTCAAAGGTCATGTGATTACAACAAGCGGAATCAAAGTACCAAGAAGTGTTACCTGCGGTGACAGATAAAGCAGTAGATGGAGGAGTACCGGAATTCTGCGAAAAATGTTGAAACATGGCTGCGACATCGGTTTGAGAGAAGACTGGAGTGGAAGGGTCTATAGGGACAAAGGAAGGTAAATCCTCGGAGGTAGCAGCAGCAGTGCGTTGAGCAGGTATTGGTTTAAACGGAGTCTCAGAACGGTGAGAGTGGCTGCGAGAAAAATTCCCGGTGGAAGGACCATTGCGAGAGGCACGGGCGGGATTGCGGAAGCAATCTTGCTGGAGATGACCAGGGCCAGTCTTGTTGCAAAATCGACAAAGACGAACTGGACAATTAACCAGAAGATGAGTCGATGGAAGACGGCGATTTTGACAGTAGTTGCAGAAGGTTGACTTCTGTGGTGAAGGTGGGGAAGGAGAACTCCTTAAGTCTCTTTTCTGGTTATCAATGAATTGATATCAATTTTTTCCCTGTGAGGTTTATTGCTTTATGCTTTATGAAGTAGCATTGATTGATGGGGATAACAATTAGTGAAAATGCAAAATAGAACTACAAGACACTACCTTGGAATCTAGGGATTCAAAATAAGTAGACCAAAGATATAATATAAGCCGCACAGGTCTGATTCAAAATCAATTACCTAAGGGTATTGCAACACGATCATATTTTTAAGAAATTGGCCATTTGTATGGAGGGGATAGATTGAAGTAAATCCTCCTTGCACTACTAGATGAAGATATTCTGTGAAGAAAAATAGTCTCATGACTTCTATGTCAATTTGTGTCTGACAATTTCATTCCAAATTTAAGAATGTGTATTTTGTTCAGCTTACTTGAGTCACATGAGCAAATTCCGTAGTTGAAGCTGAAGACTTGAGCGAATTAATATAGCAGACTTTGATTAAACTGTAAAAAACTGTATTGCATTCATGTCACAGCCTTTAAAACAGGATTATGAAAACATTTACAGCATACGCCTCTAGAAACTTAATTTAGTTTCCAAAATCATATGTTTTGTCCAAGATGGACCATAGACCAATCTCTGGCATAGAAATTCACTGGAGGACTAATAACGATGCGCCAAAGTTTCTTTCCTTTGAGGAAGCCAGACATAGCTTGTGCCCATAGGACATAATTAGTCCCGTCAAGAATAGCGGAAATAGGGTGGGTAGTGGAGTCTAGGCGATCCATGAGAGAAAAATAGCACAAATGAGGTAGAATCTAAAAAAACTGAGGTTACCAGTGAATTCAGAAGGTCGAAATTAGTCAGAAAATGAGTGAACTGACTAAAAATATGACCAGAAAGGCCGAAAATGGATTAGTCAACGAAGCTGGTCAAACAAGATGATGCAGGGCTGATGTCATAGGCGCGGCGCACGTTAGCAGAGAGTGGCGCGGCGCACGTTAGCAGGCGAGAGACACACGGCGCACGGAAGCAGCTAGGGCTAACGTCAGAAACACGCGGCTCACGTTAGCAGATGAGGCCGGGGCGCACAATAGCACCGGACAGTGTAGGAAGCGCGTGGAGCGCGTCTGAACTGAGTGAGCGCGTGGCCGAATGTTCTGGCGGCGCGTGGAGGCGCGTGCGGCGGCAGATGATGATGAATCTGGTGGCGTTGGCTTCGTCGTGAAGAGACGAAGGTGATGGTACTGTCCAATTTGTGTATTAGGGAAGGACGAGGTACGCAGCAATCTGTCAGGAACAAGATATGTGATGCAGAGACTTAGGAAACACACCTGTGCTCTGATACCATGAAAGAGAAATTGAGAGAGTTGAGAGAGTAATATTGAAAGGGGTTTTTGTATTATTAACACTCTGATTACAAACCAAATGGAGGCTCTATTATATAGGAGAGCTGAATACAAACATCATTATGGTATACATCACTAAAATAAGAAAAAGGCACACCGAAAGGAAGTGGGCGGCCGAAAGAAGGGACAAGCCGAAAGCTAAAGCTCCTATTATATACATACTATATTATATTATATACTAAAGCTGTCTCCATATTAGATTATATTAATAAGTATATGAATATTATATACATATGTTAACACACAGAAATACATAAAGCAACACAGAGAGAGAGAGAGACAGAATTACAATAAAGGGGGGACTCGGGGGAGCAAGAGCGATTTGTTGGGCCAATTCCATGTCCCTTGCGAGTTCCTCATCCTCGAAGTGGCTGTTGGCATGCCTGCAATCATCGATTCACAGTTTTCTCTCAAAATACAAAGTTCAAACAGTGGATATACGCATTGCAGAACTCGATATCAAACGTCACACACACACACACATATATCTTTTATATATAGAGAGAGATATGAACAGATTGATATATAAACAAAGATATACCTTTGAAGTTGGAAGGACGGAACAGATTGATGACAAATTGGGCAAATCGACTGGTCCATACACCAAACGCCTTCTCTGTCTCTCTGTCTCTGTGGGGATGGTTTAGCAATGGAGCGGTCAGTTCGGAAAAACATCCAAAGAGCTTCTTCGCGTCTGACGAGGGAACTTCAAATGAGCAAGCTTAATTTCAATTTTTTTTTTTTAATCCTAATCTATTGTTTTATTATTATTATTGACAAGCATGAAGTTTTTAAAAAATATAAATAATCCACAAGTATTATTAATGAAAAAAGATTAAAACAATTTACAATTTAATATAATTATACAAAAAAAATGTGTGACTTAAGGCTAAGTTTGGAAAAACTAAAAAAGTGTACTTTTTGTCTTTTTGGACTAAAAAATTAAGGTTGAAAATATAGATGTTTGGGTTAACTTTTTGACTTTTTATTAATGTGTAATAAAAAATTGTAAAAATTGATTTGTAGGAGAAAAGGGAAAAATTTGAATTGGGAGTTGTGCAGCCGTAATTGTTGACTTTTGGTGAATAGTGTTAACTTTTTAACTTTTTGAGTAACTTTTTTGACTTTTTGACTTTTTTGGATCTTCCCAAACTTAGTTTACTGTATCTTTATTTTTTGAAAAATGCTTGGGAGCACTAATTAGTGCTCCCACTAATTAGGTGGCAGTGGGTCCCGTCATGAATGATGTGATGTTTTGGTCTTGGAGTTATAATTTTTTTTTATTTTTTTTATTTTTTTAATACATTAGTGCTATTAGTGGTGATATTTTTAGTGGGATGTATCATTGTTGTTATTTTTTTAATTTTTTTTTACTACTTTCGCGATTTGGACTGGAGTGATTTTCAGTTTTACCATAGCTTTCTGGTTTTTTAGACTTGGGTTTGGTCTGTTTCCCCATCTCTGGTCTTCAAAGTTAGAGAATCAAAACACACACACATAGAGAGAGAAAGAGAGAGCATCCATCCAGAGTCCATAGTTGAGCTCCCCAGACACTTTTTTCAAAAGACCGTCTCTTGAGCCTATACAGGTTTCATAACAGACTCCATCTCTGTTGCTGCCTGCTGGTTCACTTTTGGGTTGCTAAGTGCTAATCCTAGTTGTTGCTGAAAGTGGACAAGCTGGCCCCAACGTGGAGAGTTCCCCATGCAACCAGAGCTAACCAAAGTGTTTGCTAGTCTTACCTTCCACCTGTTTGACAAAATGCCTCAGTAAACTCTGCTACTGAGAAGTCATAATATGATTAAGGGAAGAGAGGGAGATAGAGAGAGAGCGAGCAGTAAGCTATCAATGAAGAAAGGCAAACTAGGTACGAGCAAATTAACAAAGAGTGAATCAAAAAACAAATCTGCTAAGTGCAAATCAACCAAGGTTTCTTTGTTAGAGTTTGATAATCAGTTTGATAATCAGGTGGATGCTCAAATATCTACCGATAAGATGCCTGATGTACTCCCCCGCAGGTCTACACGCATCCGAGGAGCCCCCAAATGTCTCATATTTGGAGATTTTGTGGGACCATGGCAAGGGCCCTCAAATGAAAACAAAAGGGAATTAAGGGATGTGGAATCGAAGGATAGCTCAATCAAGCGTAATTGTGTTGATCTATGTTTGTGTGGAGATCTTGGTACATCATGGTTGCAATTGAATGTGAAAATGCAAGCCTTAACTGAGCAATCATCAAAGTAGCATCAAACACCTAATGCATGGAACACACCAAATAGAGTGCTAACTGATCTTGAGCAGTGGCCAAAATTGACCATTATGTCCCTATTGGCAGCAAATGAAATGATAATGTCAAATAAATTCGGCTCACCTAATGTTGATCAAAGGAGAGAAGTACTTGGCACCAAGCAACGAAAGAGTGTTGAAAATGTGTAAGCTTGTAGAAATGAGGATTTGATTGAACTACATATGAAAGACATATAATCTAGCAATGGTGAATGTCTTGATGGTAATACAATTGCTATATTAGGTAAGCCTTTATAAGCTTGGAGCTCTTTACTTAAAGAGAAGATTAACAAGGTGTCAAAAATGAAATATAAAATAGGTGCTCATAAAATTGAGAACCTAGTAGATGGCATGTACAATGTCCCTATAGAGATCTCAAAAAAAGACTTTTCTCATTGGGAAAATGCCTTGATTGGATACTTTATTGATAAAAGATTTTCTTTCCATTATGTGAAAACTTGGGCAGAGAAACTTTTGAGAAATTTGCTTGAGGATGTTGGCTCCATTGATAATGGGTCTTTTATTTTTAAAGTAAATAGTGAAGAGGCTATGGACAAAATTTTGAAAGATGGCCCCTATTACGTTGGGGCTAGATTGATTGTGTTAACATAAAATTCAGAACTTCATGTTTCGGATCATTTACCATGTGTATTATCAAGAAATCAAGACAAAAAACATACCTGAATCCATCGATGAACGGTTAAACGGAAGCGTCTGATTGTCAATAAAACCTTTGATATTGACTATGTTATTGCCTTCTAATCCTTTCCCCTTTGGTGCCTTATGTTTCTCCTTGAGAGGATTTAGAAAAACAAAACAGTATTCTTGTTTTTTCACTCTTGGGAAGGAATAGGGACCATAACCTTTTAAAGGTTGTAATTGGTTTTCATAACTGAAAGGTAATGAAAACCAATAAATTAACCATTATTGGTTTCATAACTGAAAGGTAATAAAAACCAATAAATTAACCATTATTAGTTTCATAACTGAAAGGTAATAAAAACTAATAAATTAACCATTATTATTATTGGTTTTAAAACTGAAAGGTAATGAAAACCAACTTTAACCAATATGTTTTAATTTCTATTTCTGCCCCTCATAGAAATAGAAATTATACAACTAGTATCTACACATTAGGTCCATAACACATATATACTCTTAAGCCTATTAACTAAATTGAATCACTTAAATTGTAGGCTTCTTATAAATGATAACACCACATTTAATTATGTGGTCCCATTGAGACATTATCTAACAGATTGTTGTTAAAAAATGACAATCTAAACTAAAACTAACAAAGTGTGAATTTTTTAGTGTGTCGTTGTGGGTGAAGTTGTATAATGTTCCTTTAGAGCTTTGGACTGAAGAAGGTTTGGGTTATCTTGCTAGCATTATGGGAACTCCTCTTTATTTGGATGAGCCTATGTTCAAGAGATGCATACTTACGTTTGTGAGAATATATATTGAAATGCTAGCAAATAAAGAGATCCTTGAGTCTTTCAAAATAAATCTTGGTTATGATGACCCATGTCAGATTCAAGTTATGGTTCCATGGAAGCCTCAAATGTGTGATGTTTATAAGACTTTTGATTATACCACTAATTTGTGCCTTCATAAGCCAAAGACCTTGAATCCTCCATCTTCCAAACAAGAGTGAACGGTCAAGAAGACTAACATACAAATTCCAACTAAATGGGAAGTGGTGAAGTAAAAGGGGAGAGATGGTGGGCAGAGTTCAACGAAAGTGATAAACAAAGAGGGAGAGACGTAGCATTTCACCCCATCAACATCTAATGTTTTGACGTCCTTGAATCATGTGATATGGGAGAGTTGGGACATGGAAAATTAAATCAAGAGTTGTTGTGCCAAATAAAGAGCCTAAAAAGTAAATGGAGTCCATCTCTAAGTGATCCCAGTAATGGAGAGACTACAAATGAGGATAACAGAAGAAAACTCAAAGCAAAACTTCATTAATTGAAGAGTGCTAGAGGAAAATTTTGAATCATTTGTTGTGTATATTGTGTTTGTCTTCTATAGGCTTAATTTGTTTCTTTTGAGAAAGTAGTTTGTTTTTGTTTATATTTGTTCTTCCTGCGAAAGATATGTATTAAATTTTATTGTATATCTTTCTTTTTTAGTTATAATATGACTTGCTTATTCAAAAAAAACTATATCTTTTTAAATTGCAAGAGAGATTGGTGTTATTTATTTATTTTAAAATATTCTAAAATTTCAATTTCATCATTTTAATTCATAAATTTTATCATTTCAGGATATATAGTCCAATTGGAGAGATGTGCCTAAATCATTAACAATGGTGGGGCCTAAACACCTATTCGAATAGATAAAAATATAACTTGACAATTTAAATCACCTGTGATTTCATGAAAATGGAAGTAGATTTTTTTATGATTGAATTTATAATAAATTAAAAATTAACATGTAATTTATGAGACTTGTTAGAGTCTTAATAAATTTTTTTCCAAAATTAACAAGTTGTATCTATTCTATTATATAACATGAAGACTGAGTTAGTATAAATACTACTACACATTTTACAATTTTAAATTATCCTTATAGAAGTATTTTAAAATTTGAATTATTTATTTATTTTTAATTATCTAGGTACTACTATTAATGTCTATTCCAATGCATTGGATGTGCAATGACGATATGAAACCCAATAAAATACACAAGCAAGGAAGGAAGGAAGGAAGCAAGCAAGCAAGCAAAAGTGCAATAGGGAACTCTCCATGCAGATGTACATTGAACCTGGACATACTCCATTTGGGCCTATAAAAGTCCCACACCAAATCCCTCCGTCTACCATTCCAAAGAAAGAATCCTGGATTAGTGAGAGAGAATAGAAAATGGCTCCAACACTAGCAGTTATACCTGAGCAACCGAAGCTCCACCGCCGCCAACCTCCGAGTCTGGCGGCGAAGGAGGAGGAGGAGGAGGAGGAGGTGGTGGTGTTGAGGAAGAGGAATGAGGAGTTGGAGAGAGAATTGAGGAAACCTTTTAAAGGTTGTAATTGGTTTTCATAACTGAAGTGGCAGAGGCTGAGGGTGGCCGAGGAGGCGGAAGAACGGCTTTGCTCCCAACTCGGGGAGCTTGAGGCGGAGGCTGTCGATCAGGACCGGGCCTATCGAGCTCGCATTTTGTCATTGATGGATCAGCTCTCTGCCGCTCAAAAGCTTATCCACACTACTTCTTCCATCTCACTCCCCTCCACTCCTCAATGACCACCACCACCACCACCACCATGTATACATATATATGAATATAATTATGTGAGGTAGGAGAAGAAGAGTTCGCTGTCTCCAGTAGAATCCCCATGAATTCTGTTGTGTGTCAAGGTTCACGAGTCATGAGTGAATTCATAGGTTCTCTGTTTTAGTGTATTTTTCCACTCAAAAAAGCTAGCGTTGGGATCCAGAATTTATATATGTGTGGTCAAAATTAAATTGATCATGTGCGAGATTCACATTTAAAATGAATCTCTGAATAATTTCTTGATTTTTATATTTAGGTCCATGGCACTACTAATTTTCATTTCCTTTTTGCATCTGAACCTATTGTTTCCTAATTCAAAAAACACATCTTGTGAGTAATCATGAACTGAAAATATTCCATTTTAATCATGAACTGAAAATTTGATCTTCCATTTTAATCATGAACTGAAAATATTCTCCATAATAAATAACATCTTATTGCAACGACGGATCTAAGATTCGAACTTTAGAAAGATAAATACACATGTAATTTCTTATTTTTTAAAATTATATTATTATTACTAGTATAATATACATACTATATAACTTCTGATTGTATTATTGATAAAATAAGTACAAATTGATAGCACACAGAAGTATTACTGATAAAATAAGTAAAAATTGATAGCACACAGAATGACATGTTCCCAAAATTGTATTATACAAATTGATAGCACACAGACGTATTATTGATAAAATAAGTACAAATTAACACACAGAATGACATGTACCCAAAATTGTATTATTGATAAAAATAAGTACAAACAAATTGATAGAACACAGAATGACATGTACCCAAAAAAATTGATAGTATGTTATATGACAAATGGTGATAAAAATGAAACCCACATTTATATATTAAACCTTTCTTAATTTAAGAAGAAAATGAGTATTGAGAGATGTTAAGGTTTCTTAGCCTCTGTTTGGGATTGGCTTTTTTGGGCTTTTTTGGCTAAAATAGCCACAAAAAACAAAATAGGCTATTTTAGCCACAAAAAATAAAACATCAAATCCAATCCATAATCATTACAATCCTCTCTCACAAAAAAAGCCAAAAAAGTCAAAAAGTCCTCCTTGCTAGTAGAGTCTTCACATAGTAAACATGACACAAACATCTGACAGATTTTTTTGTTAACACACAAACATATTGATTGGAACAAACACTTATTTCCCTTTCTGCTAACATCTTGCACTAAAATTCACACAAGCACTACCACAGTAAATATGCGCCAAGGGCGATCCACAGCCACAAGTAAGCAATCCGCAAGTACGAAACCCTGCACATTTCATTTTCTCAACACTCTTCCCTTCCTGTTACCTTTTAAACTATACACCTATAGACACTGAAGGGCAAACAAAACAACAATTTGTGACATGTGTGCAGAATAATGAACAAAAGACACTCGTACCCATTTAAATATTTAAAAACAAAAGAAAACACACACAATTTTCCACATTCCAACATTGACAACACTTATGGCGCCATGGCTATTTAAATTATGCAGAAGCTCAATATAAAGCTACAACAAACTGTCTTTAAAGTTTCTAAAAAAGCACATAACGGTAACTGGAATTTTAATACGACAACTGAGACAAAAATCTCAAAACATAAAAAGCTCTCCCTGATAAATGAAATATTTCTTTTGTAACCACCCGGTTCAATGCAGCAAATTAGTTTCTGCCTCGACTTCCTCTCAGCTCAGGCTCCCTAAACACACAAATCCAGTCACAGATGAGTTGTGTTCGCGAGTAGAGATTATAACATGGAAAAAGATACTTCATAGAACACTCACTAGGGGTGGGGCCAACTGTGGAGTCCACACAGTATAGGACCCACACCATTGTGAGTGTTCTGTAATCCATTCTATGGTTTGTTTGTGTATGTAGAACTACTGTTATAAAATTAGTTCACAGGGCGCATGGGTCAGACCTCTGGATGTGATCGAGAATGAGAAGCCTAGGTCCAGGAGGGATTTTGACATCTCTAAGAGCACTGAAACATATCACCGTGGAAAATACCATCAAAATATAAATACAGTTAAAATGAAAGTGTAAAGGATGGGTGAATCTTAACTACTTGCCTATCGGTGAGCAAAGGCAAAGTGGTGTCGGTTAACAAGCCTTTCTTGAAATTCTTTTCATAATTCTGGAGGCCAAGGTTGGTTAACATGCTTCTCGTTTTCACGTAGAGCACATCTTCAACTGGTGGTTGAGAAAACTTCTCCCCTAGCTGCATGACCACACGGAAAATGCTCTAAGCATGGTAAGTATATCAACACAAAACAATTATAGAACCATCTCAACATTCTCACCTGGCTCAGAGAAGGCCATGGACAATGACATAGACAAATCAATTCATGTCATACACAATTGCCTAAACCTTACTTTACCAGGACATTCATTCAGGTTCTCCATGTATGAAAGGTTAAATATGAATAGTTCTCTTCATATAGATTAGATACATTTTCCTCTTCCCTATATTCAGGAATTATTTTAATTTTTTTTATAGCAATCCATGCATATTTTCCTCTATATGGAAAATATTGAAAAAAAAAATCAGAAATCCATGCAGACTTCCTTGGCTAGGGATTTAATCTTAGGAAGGGATGCACAAAATCATGTCAAACCCAAATAATGCAATTGAATACAATAACTTCAAGCATTGTCCAAGCCTTAATGTTCAGCATGTTACCATCACATTGTAATAGATTGATTATATCATGTTGCTTTTGAAAATCTGTGGAGATGTACATGAAGAATCAGAGACAGCATCTCCAAAAACCTTGCCAATGGCACATAACTAAATATGTCCGTCTTTGCAAACTTATTTAAACTAAAGTTTTTTTCTTTGTTCAAGTAGCTACAGTTTGTGGAAGAACCTAAGGGAGTGACAGTCAGAAAAGTGAAAGTGAGTTTTCAACAAATTCTGCTACCAAATGGTGAAACTCACTTGTTCATCAATACAATTTTCAAGTTATAACAGCAGACTCCTCTACAAATGTCCAAACAGATGGCAGACACAAGTGGAGACAAGTGTCATGCACACGAGTACAGCACACCACTCCTGAAAGTTAGAAGTGTAACAGTTCAGAGTACCTGCCCCTAATGTCAAAAATGCCATGTTAATGTGGTAAATTTTAGCTTTACATATGTCCATCTGAACACATAACAACATGGGGTCAACAGACAGTATGTCAGTTCATATGCAGTGCCATTGGATATCATATAGCTCGCCATAAATAGCACCAACACTAGAATTATGCAGATTCTAACATGTTCACAGCATGCATTGGACTTCTTTATAGCAATGGACTTCAAAGTAAACACATGGTAATAACTGGGGTGCTGTTGAAGTTGATGAATTTCATCTCTAGATTATCACCTTGAAAAGTCCACCCTGAACAAGTGCAAAGAAGAGGCCAGATGTGACTACATTGGCTGCCTGGTTCGGGCCACCCAAGCCACTCACCAATGAAAACATGGCTCCAGAACCAAAAGCTGCCACCATACTGCAATCATAAATCATCTCAAATAAGTAGACAAATAAGAGTATGGGAAAATAAAACCCCTTTGCAAATTCAAAATCCAAACATAGCTTTAAATGATACACCTTGCAAGGATTTGTTAAAAAAAGAGGGGTTATAAAAATTTTGAGGGGCACACATGAAAAGAGGGGACAAATTGCAAAATGATAGTTTTGAAAATTTTAAGCGGGGACCACCCCTCCTGGGCCACTGATAGCTTTGCCACTGGTCCTCACCCAAGGAATGTGGCCACCTCCATGCATGCAATGAACAGTGCACTTCACCTCCGGCAAGCCCAAAGAGTCTCCATTGCCACTCTCTCTGCCACCTTATCTCTCCCCATTTCCATCTCTGGTGTTTTCATGCCATCTCAGTCCCTACCATAACTTCCCAGAGGGCTTCTCAACCTGCCCACTCACCGCCAATCCTCTACCATTTCTATTGAAACTTAAATGCCCTTCATCATGTTGTACAAAATAAATGTGCAATGCAATCATCCCCAATGACTAATATGCAAACATGTTAAGGAGCCAAACACTGGTGATGTTATGACAGTCAATGATACAATAATTGTTTATTATTTCTTAGGTAGATTAATGCCAAAGTGTTATGCAACAATGCAATTAAATAAATGAGGCAGTACACTTTAGCAACTATCATATTCAAGAAAATTCATAAATTAGTTATAAGACCGTTGCAATTTCAGCTCCCCTCTGTTCCTATTTATCAGAATATTTATGAATTGGTGTGATAGTAAGTGCAATCTGCCCCAAGCATTTCGGTGTAGGTTCCAGTCACATGAATTAGCCTCTCCACCAAAAAAGTGTGAAGAAGCTAACTACTTGCTACCTCTCCTACTTGCTATCTACATTCTCTTTGTGACACAATTTTTTTTCATATAATCAATAAATGAATTTCAATAGTAGTAGTAACCACATCTTCCACCAATATACAAATGGATGACTGCTTTTAACTACCATTTTACATTAGAATTGCTCCTTTTAAATGGTTGTTACGTACTACAAAAACATTTAAAAAAATATAAAACCTTTTTTTTTTTTGTTTTTTTGGATTCTCATGCATCCTCTCTGTGACACAACTATTTTCCTACAATCAATAAATGAATTTCAATAGTAGTAGTAACCACATCTTCCACCATTATACAAATAGATGACTACTTTTAACAACCATTTTACATTAGAATTGCTCCTTTTAAATGGTTGGCACGTACTACAAAAACATAAAGAATAAGCTTTAAGCCCAAAACAATTATAGATGTCCTTCATCATGTGGTACCAAAAAAAATTTGCAATGCAATAATCCCAATGACTAATATCCAAATATTAAGGAGCCAAATACTGATGATGTTGTGACAGTCAAGGATATGATAATTGTTAGTTATTTTTTAGGTAGATACTTTTTTGGGTGAATATTTTTTAGGTAGATTAATGCCCATATGTTATGAAATATTGCAATTAAACAAATTTGGCAGTGCACTTCAATATCTATTATTTGCAAGAAAATTCATATGTTAGAGACCAGACCAGACCATTACAATTTCTGTTATTCTTCTTTATAATATATCTATTTTTATATTTTATTTTTTTGGGATTCTCATGGATTCTTTTTGCAAATCAAAACATTTTTCCTAGCATCAATCATTGAATATCAATAGTAATAACCAACCACATCTTCCACCAATATGCAAATAGATGACTACAATAGTTTTTATTTCCGCTATTTTACATAAAACTTTTGAAGAATAAGCTGTAAGCCAAAAACATCCTGAACAATAAGGTGGAAAGAAAAGGTTCAAGTAAGCTTACCTAGACTGCACATCCTCCTTCCCTCTTATTCTTTTCATGACACATGATATACCGGCATTGACACCTGTCATGACAGCAAAATTGCGTGCTTGTACAAAGGGACCCCCTGCGAGGGCCTATAAACAAAATAAACCATTTGTTAATTACACATCAAGTAAGTTTCTACATTAAACAGTAGTTGCATCATCAAAAAGCTGAATTTGGGTTGCCAGAAACAGGATGTTAGAATAAGAACCAGAGGGCCTTAATTCCACTTCCAAAGGCTTGCACTACGTATCAACTTATTCAGGGTATGCTTAGATTAGAATACCTGAAAATTCTCAATTTGACTAATAGAAGAATCCATTCCACATTCAAAATGAGATACAATTCCAAATAAAAACAAACAAAGCCCTAAATGATTCTTCAACAAATGAACAGATAAATAGAAATATCCTTATCATGACCCATAAAACAAGCAACCAAAAACCAAGTTTGCTCTATTTTAACAGATTCAGGGTATGCTTAGATTAGAAGACCTGAAAATTCTCAATTTGACTAATAGAAGAATCCATTCCACATTCAAAATGAGATACAATTCCAAATAAAACCAAACAAAGCCCTAAATGATTCTTCAACAAATGAACAGATAAATAGAAATATCCTTATCATGACCCATAAAACAAGCAACCAAAAACCAAGTTTGCTCTATTTTAACAGATATAAGCACAGGACCCCAAATTATATAATCAGCAAATTAATCCAGAACTTAGCATCTCCAATCCCTGACTCAAACCTATATCAAATTTAAATTTGGATAAAAATCACTCAAAACACCCTCCACTCATTGTCCCAAACTTACACCAAATTGAATTTTACTAAAAATTTTACCCAAATCAAATGTTTACTCAAAATTTTCAAGGCTATTTAGTGGCTCTCAAATTTACCACTCTCCAATTACCGAATCTTTTACATGGGGCGGGAAGTCAAACTTGGGAACTTGCCGTCCTTGGCTTGTTAATCCTCCTTGTGAGGATGGGTATCAGCTTTGATTATCACGTTACTTTTTTTTTTTCTCTATTATTATCTATTAAATTTTTTTCTTTTACTGAATCTTTTACTTAAATCTGAATATGTCCACCGGAGTGGTTTATACCAAATAAGGCTTTTACTCAAATTTTTATTCAAATGAGTAAAATTTTGAGTAAGCTTTTACTCAAGTTTTCAAGCATTGTAGTGAACCAAAATCCCCCCCAAAAAACCCCTAACTCGGCACAAAACCTAATTTGTGAAGCCAGCAATAGAATACACACATATAGGTATGCACGAAAAATAAGCAATATATGAAAAATTAGGAGGGTAAGGTGAGGATGGAAAAAGAACCTGGGCTTGCTGGAGAGAGGCCATGGCTTGGGGATTCATAGAGGCAGCATTAGGAGGAGGAGTGGGGAAAGAAGAAGAGACGTCGTTGGTGAGGGTGCCCATGAAAGCACCTATGGCGGCACCCTGGGCGGCGCTGGTGGCGGTGACGACGGCGGCCTCCACTGGCAACGACTGCTTGGCCAACCATGCCTTGAACCCTGCCTCCAATTCCTTGAACTTGGCTTGCAATTGAGCTACTGGGTTCTGTGTCTGAGTCGCCACTAGTCCTTTTGACATCTCCCCCACCATCACTCTTTGCTATCTCTATGTTTTTTTGTTCTCGACTTATCGCTGCTGTGCAACTCTCTCCTCTCTCTCTCTCTCTCTCTCTCTTCTCACAATTGGAATCCGGAAGCTCTAGCAAGGAGCTGTTTTGGGGAGTATGGATGGATAACAAAATACGGTAAATTACACTTTATACCCTTCCATTTCATACCTAATTTTATTTTTGTCCTTTCGTTAATTTAATGAGAAATTCTATTTTCACATACTCAGGTTTTGTTTGGTATGATCTAAAAAAGTCAAAAAGTCACTATCCTATTTAAGTCATATCATCTTATTTAAGTCAAATCACCTCTCTAACACATCACTTCAAATCCAACCCATATACAATCCATATTTCATAAAAAGTCAAAAAGTACACATATTTAGATCATTATAAATCATCACTTAATTACCTCAATACATATCTTGTCTTAATACACATACTTATTAATTTAATTATTAATTAATTTTTTCAATCTACACACTAAAAGTTACAATTATACCATTCACTCATAATCATTGTACATACACCACTCAATCTTATTTTCACACACTTGTTAAGTGACCTTACTTTTAGATTTGTAGACCCATTTTATACCCACGTAAAGACCATTCAAGATCACAATGTGAAGTAAGACAAAATCTTCCATTGAAGACCCTATTGAACCTCTATTAAAAATACCATTGAAAACCCTTCAAAATATTGTTGAAGATGAGGCATCTTTCCAATTTGTTATTGCATTTACCATTTTTAGATCTCTGTGCATTCCATTGCTATAAAACCCTCATGTTTTGTTTTTTTAATAAATATTTTTTGATTTGGGGATTTTGGCATTGTTTTTTCAAAATTATACATTTAATAACTCCTAAATAAAAGTCATTAGTTTGATAAATTTATTCTGAAAAAAAATAAAAAAAAACTTTCAGCAGTTGATGTCTGAATGTAATGAAATAATTCGACAGTTGATATCCGAATATAATAAAATAATTCAGCACTGATTGTTCGATTGAAAACCGCAAAAGGAAAAGGGAAAAAAAAGTTCTGTACGAAAAACTAACATTTTCATCACTAATGGAGTATAAATCTAGAGATTAAAACAATATGAGAGTTATTATGAGAGTATTTCTTTCTAAGTAATAAAAGAGTATAGGGTGTGTAGCAAGCAAAGTGACAACAATGAAAAAATTACGATTTTTTTTTTTACTCAAAATGTGTATATTAAGATTTTTTTCATTTTTAAAAAATGTGTACAGAGAATATTTTCATAATATTTTGGGTGCTAGTGGAAATTCATTATGATCATTTTAATTTAAAATATAATTGTCATTAAAATAATATTTTATTAAGTATGCATTGAGATAATTAGGGGTATGAAAATAGAATTTCCCTAATTTAATGTTAATTAGTTAGTAGAAATTGTCATGGGACGACCCTAGTACAAGGTATTTTTAGTGAAAGAAAAATACAAATCCATTTTTATTTCTTATTCTTTTATATCTATCAACTGTAATTTTTTTCTTATACTGTAATTACATCACTTTTTATGTTACTTCAATCTATTTCATCATTTCTCCACCATTTATTGATGGCATTAGCTGATAATAAGGAATAAAATTATATGGCAAAAGAATTGTGGTAATAGATAATAAAAAGCATGTGGGGAAAGGATGTGGGTCGCGATGATAGGGAGGGGCAATGGCCATGAGTAGTGTAGAGAAAAATGATTATGGAAATATGATGGGGTTATATTAGAGAATTAGAAAAGAAAAATAAAGAAATTATGTTTTTATTATAAAAAAGGTTATCATATGAGAGTTCTATGACAATTTTTATTAAATAATCTAATATCAAATTAATGAAAGGGTTATATTGTGATTTGACCAAAATATCAGAGATTGACTGTTAGAATTAAAAAAATATAGACCAAAATAAATTTTAATATAGTCATTGAGATTTGAAAAAAAAAATACAATATTAGTCTTATATTTTTTACATAATTATATTAACATTTTTTAATAATGTTAAAGCGACTGAAATTAATATAGGCGATAAATACACTAAAATAAATAAAGATATATATATATATATATATTCTAATTGAAAATATATGAATATATTATTTTTTTTATTCATGTAACTAACCAATTATTGATAAAAAAATAATCTAATTATTATATGAATTAAAATTACTAAAAAAAGTTAATATAATTATATTAAAATTATAAAATTGCCTGTATTTTTTTTTAAACATTTTAAGAAAAACGACTGTAGTTTAACCTAAAATATTAAAGTATAAAGTGTAATTTATTTTTATTTTTTTTAATAATAATTTCACCCCGTATCGTCGGCTATTGAGGCTACGGCAAAAGACAACGTAGCAGACTCATTGAGCATCATTTCATTAATTTTGTGTTAAAAATAAAATAATTAGAAAATTTAAGAAAATAAATTACAAAAAGGTCATAACATTACATTCCCGGGCTAGACCATGTTGGATTTTCTTACCCCCGTTTACATTTATTAAATATTAGCATGTCACTCGTACTATGCACGGCATAAAATAACATATTATTTATTAAAAATATGATAATTATATTTAATTTTATATTCTTTTTCTTGTAAATGAAATTTTATATATAAATTTAAGAGTTTTGTTTTAAATGGTCCTTTACTATAATATTTACTCATAAACATAGATTAAAATTGTTGTATTGACAATTAACAATTAAAATTATGTTTTGTTATAAAAAAATAACATAGTTCTAATACTTCACTATTTTAGAATAAAAATATATAAATTTTAAAAAAATTTATATTGGTTTTTGAAAGGAAAATAATTAAAGAAATTTTAAAAATTTAATGAATAAGAAAGAATTATCGTAACATGTAATTTAAAATATAAAAAAAAAGTTTAAAATGAATAAAGACTTTAAAAAGATGTGATTATAATTCAAACTAATGTCATATTTATTAATACGTATAATTTTATTTGGATATTATTTATATTTATCATGCTTATTGAAAATAAAAATAAATAAAAATAAAAATATTAATAATTTTGAGTTTTAAAATATGATTTTGTAGACTTGCTATATTAACTTTTGGAAGGAATATATTGAATTTTTTTTACAAAAATTGAATATTAGTCATTGAACAAATCTTATAAGATTTATAAAATAAAATTTATAATATGAAGAAATTAATGATATTGCAACATATGCAGTTTAACAATTTTAAATTTTGAAAAAAAAATAGATTAGGATTTTAAACTTCAATTATTGTACAACATTTTTATTTAAAATAATATAAATACGGATAGGTAATAGATAGATTAAAATTAATCATAAATATAGCTATGTTTAAAAGAATATGGTTTTGTATAATTATATTTTAAATTCTAAAATTTATTTTTTAACTTCCTATATAAAAAGATTCAAAATTTTAAATTACGTATGATTTTTTTCTAAAAACATATGAACTCATAGTGGAGTAGAGAGAAAACTACCATAAAGGAATAGAGGAGCTGCACATATTAAAAATAAATAATTAAATAATTGACTAACACCTTTAATAGTTTAAAAAATTTGATTAAAATTAAAATTTTCTATTTATAGCTTTGAAAAACTATTATACGCATTTGAAATAATGCTCTGCACCAACTGTCAATTAACACATATTATGATATCAAAAAAGTATTAAAAGTAATTTTTTTTATAAAAAAAATTAATAATATACAAACATAAAATCAATACAAAAAACTTATTAATAAAGATTTTGCTTGGATTTTTATCTATCATTTTATAGTGAGTGACATTTTTTTTTGTTATACAAATGATCCTATCACGCCATTTTAGTATGAAGTAGAGAGAGAACTACCATAAAGGAATAGAGGAGCTGCACATATTAAAAATAAATAATTAAATAATTGGCTAACACCTTTAATAGTTTAAAAAATTTGATTAAAATTAAAATTTTCTATTTATAGCTTTGAAAAACTATTATACGCATTTGAAATAATGTTCTGCACCAACTGTCAATTAACACATATCATGATATCAAAAAAGTATTAAAAGTAATTTTTTTTATAAAAAAAATTAATAATATACAAACATAAAATCAATACAAAAAACTTATTAATAAAGATTTTGCTTGGATTTTTATCTATCATTTTATAGTGAGTGACATTTTTTTTGTTATACAAATGATCCTATCACGCCATTTTAGTATAAAAATTATAGGAAAACAATATTAACCAACAAAAAATAGTTATAAACAAAAAACAGATAATGGTTGGTAGAGAGGAGAGAGAAATGACACAAAAATATGAAATACAAAAACAAAAAAATGGTCATAGATAAAAAGAAGAAGAAAAAATGGAGTACCTAAAAGATAAAAGAATCTGTTTAAAGAATAGAACAGATTAAACATAAACGGAGCTCCAATTTGTCTCATAAAAATAAAGTTAAAAAAAATCAGTTTTATTGTTCCATGAATATAATATTTATAGGGCAAGCAAGACATGAATGACTTGGAAAAAGTATAATGTATGATGGTTAAGATTTTTGAATAGAAGAAAGCATTGGTTAGAGAAAGAGTGCTGGTTGATCATTACACACACCAAAAATAAATCACTAAATTATACCAAATTCTATTAGAATAATGGCAAGTCCAGGTTTCGATTCACAGGGACAAATGTGAAATTAGATTAATTCAATCGCAAAATTCCTAAATTAATTTTGATTAAAAAAAATAGGATTGATTTTATAACTAAACAGCAATTAAATGAAATTGAAGAATTATATTGACAATTAAAATTAGGGTTTGAGATATTAATTTTTCGGAAAAAAATCCTAGGGCAGAGAATTCACCACTAACAACATGAATGAGACTTAACATTGGCCAACCATTGCGATTCGGTTTGAACTACCCAATTTTTCACAACTACAAGTTTGAAATATTGATCAAGAGGGTTATCGTATTCAACATACAGGCACGAATCATCCTGAGTAGTACGAGTCATTTTTTCTAACTATGGTAGCAATACGACCCGTCTCTCATAGCACGACTCGTCTCGTACTTTGAATACAAACACAAAGAAAACTAATATATGGAATGCA